AATCGATTTTCTTCCCTATGAGTTATAGAGCATTTATTAAATAAAAAATACATAACATTTATGCATTGCAGTGAAGGAAAATATCATATCTAACTTCAAACATAATTATGAAAAACAAATAAATAACCAAAGTTACAAGAGACAACAACTCCTCATGATCTGAGGTGCTGAGTCAAAACATGGAGGTGAGTCAATTATGAGATTGATGGTGTGACCCAAGTTGGCGGGGAAAGAGGACTTATTGACAATCCAGGATAAAAAGATTCAATTTTTCCATCTTCAAGATTGTAAGCTCCCATATCTCTTCCATTACCACCTTCCTTATTCTTAATCCTGCACCAATCATCGGTAAAATATATGTGATTACGCTTGACTCCTGTAAACTTAGAGGACTCAATCGAACTTGCTCCACTAAGGCCCAAAAATATAGCCGAATCTCCCAAGCTGTTAATCTCCTTCAATTCACCTTTGATTATATCTAACTCATACACTTTAATTTTAAAGGTCTGACCACCAATTCCATGGGAATATCGAGCAACAAATAATAGCGAATTGGATACCTCAACTAGGTAGAACTGCTTAGCTGAATATTGACCGAACATATCATACTTGAGGGGAAAAAGCAATTGTGGTGTAACAATTGGTTGAGGAATGGCAGCTCATGTCAAAAACCCAAACTTGGCCACACCATGTCACACAATAAAATTTCTCATTATAGTAAATCATTGCTGCAATGTAATAAACCCAACCTTTTGCAAAATCAATTTTAGTCCAGTTAAGATCACCAGGTCGCCAAAAAGCCAAAAGATAATCACAGTCTGTATAATAAGAAACCACTAGTACATAATCTGATGCAACTAAAGGATTGGCAGATAATACAGCTTTGTCCATATAGTGCCAGAACTCTCCTTTACATAATTCTACGGGACCATGAAAAACCCAAAATTCTTTTTCTGAAGGAAGTTCAATTTGGGTACGGGAGAAAGGGTTCAACAAATTCATCTCTCCGTTATATGCCACAGTGCAAAGCCATCCTTGCGTTGGAAAACACTCTCTCCCTCTAACTTCAGGGAGAAATATGCGTGAAATTTTATGCTTGGACAAAGAGTAAAATTCTCGATAATCTTCATCTTTATCAGCAAGCATAAGCAATGGAACTTGAGGCGAAAACACATCGAAATTTTTCTTTGTAGCAGCAGTTCGCCAAGAGGTACAAACGGCACCAAAAGAAACGAAATCTTCAATTACTTTAACACGGTTTGCAATCTCAGTAAGGAGATCGTAAGGCAACTCTGCCCACTTCGACATAGCTCTGAAAGGCACCGACCCGAGCTCTAACACCTAGGATTGTATTGTTTGGTATTCTTAAATAATATTTTGCTATTGTATTTGTACATGAATATTATGTACCGTAATAAGTTTACTAAAATAACTTAATTGTATAAATATTAAATTTATCAAAATTTGCATAAAAATAATTTTAAAAAATAAAACAGAAGGAATCAACAAAGGACCTAGACAGAAAAGTCAAAACAAAGGAGTAATAAGTTAGGGTATAAATGAAAAGAAAAATAGGACATAATATCAGCACACCAAATAGGTTATTTCAAAAAATGTGACTTTTATTGTTTCAAAATAATAAATTTAACAATACAATACAACCAATTTTAATGAAACAATCAAAACAAATATTATTTTGAAATAACAATACAATATACAATTCTCACTATCAATGAATTTTAATCCAATATATGTTACACACACTTTAAAGTTTAAACTAAGTGCACGGTTAGCCACTAATAACATATGTATTTACTTTAAGCCATTGTTTAAAATGTCTTTAGTCTTTAGCCACTGCTTTAATAAACTTTAACTGCCCGGACGAAAATACCCTTCTGCTCGTATCCTTAACTTTTGAACTTAACTTCAGGACATCAGGACTAAATGTCCTTAACTTTTGAACTTGTAACCCTAAGTTCGGGACTTCGGGACTACATGTCCCTAACTTTTGAATTTGGAACTGTAAGTTCAGGACTTCAGGACTACATGTCCTTAACTTTTGAACTTAACTTCACGACCATGTCCTTAACTTTTGAACTTAGCTTCAGGACTTTAGGACTACATGTCTTTAACTTTTGAACTTGTAACTGTAAGTTCAGGACCAAGTGTGCTTAGCTTTTGAGCTTGTTAGTCAAAGTTCAGGATCTATTGTCCTTAACTTTTGGGCTTCTTAGCCTAAGTTCAAGATCTATTGTCCTTAACTTTTGAGCTTGTCAGTCTAAGTTCAGGACTTCAGGACCTATTGTCCTTAACTTTTGAACTTGTAACTGTAAGTTCAGGACTTATTGTCCTTAACTTTTGGGCTTCTTAACCTAAGTTTAGGACCTATTGTCCTTAACGTTTGAGCTTGTAGCTTTCGGACAGTAGTTGGAGGGCTTCCTTCAGTCCACTCGGAGACCCAAGGTAGACCTGCAGACGTTCGCGGGCCTTGACGTCTCTCTCTATCTCCATTTCCTGTTTCCTTATCCTTGTTCAGAAACAGTATTGTGTATTTTCTTCAGACCTTGTATGTAGTGACTCTTAGACAGTCTGTGTTACTGTGACACCAGATTTTGGGGTATTGAAGTTTAAAAGTTGTAATAGACATGGCTTTGAGTTTTATAAATGTTGATTTCCGCTTATTCTTAAATTTTTCTTTTAATATATTGTCGCCCTATGTTGTGTTAAAAAGAAGTAATATGAAAAGGTAGCAGATAGTTAAGATTTGGCTTGCCTACCTCTCATCAGTAGGCGCCATCACAACTCCCGAGGGTGGAAAATCCGGATCGTGACACTAATAGTCTACGTAATAATGGGGGATTAACTATTGATGACTTATTGGTTGACATGATTAAGAATAGTAATAGTATGGTTCGCAGAAGTAGTGTATGCCATCGTAATGCACTGTTTTGGTACAGATCTTCATTAATTAGACTAAGAGTTGACTTTTATATTGACTTATTCTAAAAATTTTAAAATTATTCATCGAGACAAAGTAGGACGTGTTATTAAATATTTTGGATAGATTGAGGCCCTTGGAGGTCGTTTGGTTGGTGTTCCAAATATTACAAGGTTGGGAAACTTCCCGTTAGTGAGGTAAGTGAGACTTTAAGCTTTGATGCTTTCTTTTCGAAAATCCGTTTTAAAAATATGTTTTGTCTGCCTGGTCCATGTGTTGGGACGAGCGTGCGCTTGGCAGAATCAGTGGTCTTTGACCAGCCGCAAATATATATTATTTTGTAAAAAGCTTAAATTGATCAATAAATGATTTGTGGTGTAGTGTGATGTGGCGTAGCCTCGTGCTATGGCGTTGGGGCGTTAGAAATTATGATCTCTGTAGGAACCACAAGTGACGGGTCTCCCATGAATTTCTTCAACATGGACACATGAAACACTGGGTGTACAACAGCTAGTTCTTGTGGCAATTCTAACTCATAAGCCACATGTCCGATTCTTCACAAGATTCTATATGGACCAATATAGCAGGGACTAAGCTTCCCTTTCTTCCCAAATCTCATAACGCCTTTCATGGGCGATACTTTCAGAAACACCCAATCATCAACTTGGAACTTTAAGTCTCTATGCCACACGTCCGAATAGGACTTTTGGCGACTTTGAGCCGTATTCAAATGCCTTTGTATCAAGTTGACTTTCTCCATAGCGTGATAGACCATCTCGGGTCATAACAACTCCTCTTCTCTGACTTCGAACCAACCAATTGGTGATCTACACCTTCGCCCATAGAGAGCTTCATACGGTGCCATGTTGATACTAGAGTGATAATTGTTATTATAAGCAAACTCAATGAGAGGTAGATGATCGTCCCAATTACCTTTAAAATCAATAACACATGCCCTCAACATATCCTCAAGAGTCTGAATGGTGTGTTCCGCCTGGCCATCTGTCTGAGGATGAAAAGCGGTGCTGAGGTTCACTCTTGTGCCCAATCCCTTCTGAAAAGATTTCCATAAGTTTGCTGTGAACTGAGGACCACGATATGAGATAATGGACAAAGGAGTCCCATGCAATAAGACAATTTCTTTGATATACAACTTGGCATAATCCTCGGCCGAATTTGTAGTCTTCACTGGTAAGAAGTGAGCTGACTTCGTAAGTCGGTGTTGATACCCAATTTTTCCTTGTATATTTTTAATATTCCAAATACTTTCAAAATAGCATATGTAAACATATATAAGTATGCCCAAATGATTTATTATTGTTCCTTAATTTTTAAAAGATTTTTTAAATCAATTTATTGCCCTATTTTATCCAAAAAGCCCAATAATTATTCTCAAAATTATCATTTTGGTCATTCATTTATTGGATTCTCATGTTTATACTAAAATATAGCTAATATAATTTTTGTATAGTTTTACAAATCTATTTAGTATTTTAAAAGCTAAATTGCATATAACTGCAATATTAGCCTTTTTAAAATTTAATTACGTTTATACTTATAGAAATTAGGTCTGGTATTTTTAAATAGTTAATTATATGCTATAAATTATTTTGGTACCTTTAATTTATTTCCAGAAATTATTTTACTATTTTTATAAATCAAATAGGAAACGTGGCTATTTAAATGTTAGCCCCGTTTTATCTCAATTTTAGCTTGATTTTGAACCCCAAATTAAACCCAATCTGAGGCCCAATTACCCTGACCCAATCCCCGTTCAATCCGACCCAAACCCGTCTTCATAACCCACCCGCTTGTCTGTTTTAATCCAGGTCGTTGATCATTCAGATCAACGGCCAACAACAATCCTTACCTTTTTTTAATTCAAACGACCCCTAAACCTAACCCCATTATTCACTCTGCGCCACCTCTGAATCCTCTTCTCTCTCAATTCTCTCTCAAACCCTAGCCGCCGCCCTCAACTACAACCCTAAAACCGCCCAAATCCATGGCTTCCAAAGGTCATCGGAGGCCTGTACCTACCTCTCATGGCTCCTGCGTGCTCGATGACTATTGTTTCAAGGCTAGATCTTGAGAAAGCTTGGTCCAGACCTTGGTCGATTTTAGTTTATGGCCGTTCTCCGATCGTTTTTGACCTTTCTCTGGCCAGCCATGGCTATTCGAGTCCGACTCTTGACTCTCCTCCTTAGATAAATGATTTTCAAAGCATTTCTCACCACTTGGGGTTCTTCTGAAACCATAGCCTCTAAGGTTCTTCCGATTTCTTTTAGATCTGTTTCAGATCTGTGTTTACTCTAAACTTCCAAATGTTTTTTTCCTCAAAGTTTCTCTTAAAATGTCTACCTTCAAAACCCCTTATCTTTTCCGATTAGGGTTTTTGTTAAGTTATTTCGAAGCTTTCTCTAATTTTTGACATGTTCTGCTATGTCTCTTTATGTCGTTCTTCTACTTGAGTTTGTATGTTAAAAGCCTTAATTTCTTTTGAGGCTTCTGAATCTATTTTGTTAGTATTTGTTTGATTTATTTGTTTTTCGTCTCTAATTCTGGGTTCATTCAAGTTCTGAGACTATTTTTTGTGTGATTTACTTGTTCATCATCTTTGAATTCGATTGGTTTCAAAAACCCTAATTTCTTTGGGGCCTATTCGAGCTTCTAAAGCTGCTTGTGAAACTCATCTGTTTGAAGTTGCTTGACTGGATTTGAAATCCTTTTGTTTCAGCATCTGTTTCTTTATGTGATTTTGGTTTCTTACAATCATTGAAACTCGACTATACTTTTTCAGAAGGGCCTTTTACTTAACCCTTTGCACGCTTCTGACACTCTCTCTTTTCTCTATTACTAAGTTAATGAAGTTGACCTGACTGTTATTGCATGCTGCTTATCTTTGCCATAGTTTGGCCTCGCATGCTTAATGTTTATGCACTCTATTTATACGCTGAATTCCCCTCTTAAATGACCTTCAATTCTGGACTGATTTCAAACCATTCATTGTGGAATTCTGATTGCATTCGTATGTTAAGTATTTGATTCTTTCCTTGTTTCGCCTTACTGATTTTCCTATTTCTTGGTCTAATTTGAATACTTTCCTTTGGACCTTCGATCCCTACTTTTCTACTCAATCTTATTGATTCCCTTACCTTGGCTGCATTGGTATTTGATTCTCACTGACTATCTCCTTAATTAGAGTTCTTCTGAACCCAGCCCTAATGGTTTAATCTATGCCTAATATGTTCGAATTATTTCCTTGTCTACACATTGATTTCTTTCCTTATTTGTTACTTGTTCTTACCGTTTGAACTGATTCCCTTAAGTTAAGGGAGTACTTGTACTAATTTTGATTCTAATTGGTTCT